CTCTCTCTCTCTCTCTCTCTCTCTCTCTCAGTCCGGTACTAAATTGTGAAGTTGGCGCCTTGATGCAGGTACCTCGAAGATGGAGCTGGAGCTATGGCGCCACAGTAAGTCCCACTGGCCTCCGCCAGCCATCTCTCCCAACTCTACTACTACCACCTACTAGCGCCCAGCGCTGAAGACTACTGCTAGCGCTAAGCTACTCCTGCAGCGCTCCTCCTGAGTGCTGCGGCCGAATCCTGACGACTACTCCTGCCTTCTGTCCAACTACCTGCCCGTGAAGTGCATGGGAACTCCCTATGTACTTCTCGGCCTGCCTCCTGACTGCAGGGCGAGGCAGTCCAGGAGGCTGCTCTTGCCAATGCCGCAGGGAGTCAGGGGCTGCCGCTGCAGCTCCTGCTTGAGGCTGTCATGGGAACAGGCTAAAGATAGCCTGTTCCCGAAACCCTGGTTTTGTGCCTGAGTGTTAGGACAGGTCGATCTTATGAGGGCCTGAAAGTGGCCCTCCGTTTTAGGCTGAAAAGCCCTGTTTTAGGCTGAAACGACATAGCGCCTGCAGGCCCTCGTTTTTCAGTCTTTCAGACTGAAACGACAGGGGCCTGTAAGCCCTTATTTCTAGGCTTTTAGGCTGGGAATGCGGGACGGGCCCTGCAGGCCCGTGTGGCTACGCAGTATGCCACACCCCCCCCTCCTTGAAGGACCGAGCTTACCTGCGAGGGCGAAGCTGTCTGTCTGAGGGAGGGACCACAGTCCGGGTGGGAGGGGCAGGTCATGAAGGTCCCTGAGCTAACCTTTGTCGCTCATAGTGAGCGTAGATCAGCGATGCGGATGCTTTCAAATCTGTTCCTGAAATCCACCAAGTGTCGTCGGGATCGCATGCTCTGAATGTAACTTTGTACTAGCGAGGCTTGCTGCTGTACTTGCGATCCGTGATGACGCGGTCAACTTCCTGATGACCATCCATAGATGGAGGGTCCTGCGTTCGTCGGCCCGGGAAGTCGTCGCTCTTAGCTGGTGTATATGTTGCCAGCTTCGAGGCGTGAAAGACTGGATGGACGGTCAGATGCGCAGGGATGTTGATCACAAATGAAGGGCCATCGGGCTCATCGCCCGCGGCTGATGTTACGGGCCATGGTCCAAACCACTTGGGAAGCAGTTTGCGTGAAACATCCTGTTCCAGTGCAAACTCTTCCGCGGAGACCCAAACCAGATCACCGGCGCGGATGGAACATGTCACGCGACACCTGTTGGCTTGCTGCTGCATGCGGACTTGAGCCTTTTGCATGTTCGTGCGGGCTTGAGCCAGCAATTCCCTGTACTTCCGGRCGGAAGCGGGAGAGCAAGCRGCGTCVATGTCGGCTGGTCGWGGGAGGAGAAGGTCGGCGAAGATACGGCCTTTCYGBCCACCGTSSTGCAACTYGAATGGAGTCACGCYRATCGYCGGRTGCACCGAAGTGTTGTAGGCGAACTCGATGTCGGGGAGGYGGTCAACCCAATCTTTCTGGTCCGGACGGATGAGCGTACGAAGCATCATTTGAGCGGTTTGATGTGCCCGCTCCGTTTGCCCGTCCGTCTGTGGATGCCGAGCCGAACGAGGTCAACCCAATCTTTCTGGTCCGGACGGATGAGCGTACGAAGCATCATTTGAGCGGTTTGATGTCCCCGCTCCGTTTGCCCGTCCGTTTGTGGATGTCGAGCCGAACTTGGTTTCATCTTCGTGCCAGACTCCTGCATGAGAGCAGTCCAAAATGCCGACATGAAGCGAGTGTCGCGGTCGGTGACTATGTCTTCCGGTACACCGTGGCCACAAATCCAACCGGTGTGCAAGAGGCGTGCCAGCTCGGGAGCCATGGAGTAGTACTTGCAAGGGAGAAAACGTACATACTTACTCAAACGGTCCACAACCGTGAGGATGCCGTCGTGCCCGAGGCAATTACGGGGAAATGGTCCGGTGACATCCATGGCAATGGAGAGGCCGGGTTCCCGTGGGATAGGCATCGGGCGCAACTCGCCGTAGGGATTGCAATTGCGGGGCTTGCTTCGTCGACAAACTTCGCAAGAGTCGCAATACCGAGTGACATCGGAAATGAGGTCGAGCCATCGGAATCGTTGTCGAAGTCGTGCAATAGTGCGGTTGACTCCAAAATGGTCGGCGAGTCGCGAGTCATGGTGCTCCCCGAGAAGGCAAGTCCGAAGACGACGGTCTCGTGGGACACACAATAAGTCCTTGCCTCACGAGTGGAGGAGCAAGTACCCGTCGGCAATGCGATAGTGGCTGGTTGGCGGGTGATCCGAAGATAGTTGCGCATACAACGTGGCGAAGTGCGGATCAGACTCCTTCGGTGGAGATGTTTCGGTGTGAAGTCAAATTGGTCGATGAAGTACATCCATCGGCCGATCGTGCTGCTCATTGTATCCTGTGTCTTGTAGTAGGTTAATGGGTTGTTGTCCGTGACCCATGTGAACCTACGACGCCCAAGGAGGAAGTGCCGCCATCGCTTGTGAGCCATCACGAACGCGAGCAGCTCCTTCCTTGCATCATCAAGCGAATTGATGGGAGGCACTTTGTGGCTGAAATACTCCACAGGGTGCCAGTCGTCGCCGTCGTGTTGTTCCAAGACTGCCCCAATGCCATAGCCAGAAGCGTCAGTTGTCACTCTCGTAGGCAGGGTGGGGTCATAGATGCTAAGGACGGGTGCCATGAGCATGGCCGTCTCAAGTGCTTGGAATGACCGGCGTGCGTCGTCATCGAATACGAATGGCACCTTTGGCCATTGTAATCTCGTCATAGGTGCAGCAATCCTTGAGTATCCGGTGATGAATCGCTGATAGTAGCCCACCAACCCCATGAATGAACAAACGTCCGTGGTGTTGGTCGGCTCGGGCCATACGCGGAGGGCCTCGATCTTGTCCGCAAGCGGACGGATGCCTTGCGGCGTCACATAATGTCCCAAGTACTCCAGCTCCTGCCGCGTGAATTCGCATTTGTCGCGGTTGGCTTTGTACTTGGCTTATCGTAGCCGCTCCAATACGGTGCGCAAGTGTTCCACATGCTCGTCCAAACTCCTGATGTACACCAGGATGTCGTCGAGGTAGATAAGTACGAATCGATCCAGCACGTGTCAGAACTTCGTTGTCATAGCCGCTTGGAACGGGGCCGGGGCATTCGTAAGGCCAAATGGCATGACCAGTCATTCGAAATGCCCATATCGCGTCTTAAACGCGGTCCAGTAGCGGTCCTCCTGCCGAATCTCGAGTTGGTGATATCCAAACTTGAGGTTAAGCTTGGAGAAGAACTTGGCGCCGCCCAGCCGTTCGAGAAGGTCGTCGATGCGTGGAAGAGGGTCGACGTTTCTGATTGTTTGCACGTTGAGCTTGCGATAATCAATGCACAACCGCAAATCCTTGTTCTTCTTCGGGACGAAGAGAACGGGAGCACCGTATGGCGATGAGCTAGGCCGAATCCAGCCTTTCTCCAGAAGGTCGTCGAGTTGTGCCCGTAGCACACTTAACTCTTCCTCGCTCATTCGGTAGATGCAACCGCGAGGAGGTACGGCCCCGTCCTCGAGGATGATCTCGTGGCGGATGGGCCGATCCGGTACTACTCCGTGCGGGCCTTCGAACACGTCGCCGTAGGCGTCGAGAAGCTCCGTGATGCGTGGGTCCGAAGATGAGTCCGTCGATGAAGCGTCATGGGGCGGGAGGGCGTGGAGAAAACACACCCCCATCTCCTCGATGTCGTCTTTGATGATGGAAGCTCGCATGCTTGCGGCGGATACCACATGGCAGTTGATCGAAGGGTGAGGAGGAGCTACCGTGCATAGGACTAGTACTCTGTTTCGATCACGAACGTGATCGGTGCGGCGGTAGAAGTTCACCGGGTGATCCTGCCTTCGCAGCCATGACATCCCCAAGATCATGTCGAATTTGGTGTCCAAGATATCGAAGGACACCGCCTCGCTTGCATGCGGGGCAAAGTACACGGGGACGTCATCTATGCACCGGTCTATTGACTTGTGCGTGTGAACGTCCGCCAATGTGAATTGCGTAGGCTGGGACTTCCTCCGGACGCGTGGGCCAAGGCCGGCGCGTACCATAAAGTCCTAGCTCATGTAGTTGSGAGATGCTCCGCAATCGATCAAAGCGCTGCAGGTCGCCTCTCCGATCTGAATGCGTACATATAACAATGGTGCATCGATGTCGTCGTACCGTTGTGTCTTGAACTCGCGGTCGATCTTCGCAATGTGGGCGTGAAGGTCGACAACCTCTACTCCGGCGTCCATCAACGGAGTTGGTACTGCAGTGTGCAAGTAATCCCGCAATTGTGCCATGAGCACGTTGCAATGCGGTTTCGGCAATCGACCGGACCGGGGAAGGGGCATCCACTGGAAGTCCGCAACAGTCAACGGGTTGAGCTCTTCAAGTCTTGACCATGACGTTGAATCCCCGGCGGTAGATGGCGGCAAAGCTGCCGAATCGGTTACCGATGGTGATGAAACCGTGCATGCGGTAGATTGTTGCACGTGGAGTGGTTGGTCCAATGGTGGGACCAAGTGGACAGCATAGTCCTCGTAAGTGTACCGAGGACTTGCGACATGCGCATCCTCCCCACATGTGTAGGAGGCCGCTAGCAAGGCGGCCGAATCTGGCGGAGTGAGAGGTGGAGTCGCCTCACCTCCTGCGCAACTCAGTTTCCCGAGGTTGATATGAGGCCGAACATCCTCCTTGCCTTGATCAGGGCATTGGGAGGTCTTGTGCTTGGTGCTGTTGCACCAATTGCAGCAGCCGTAGCAGCCACGCCACTTGTATTCCGCCTCGGTCAAGTGAAACTTGACCCATGGTGTTGGCTGTCCGTTTCCGGCCGGCGATGCGGTTTTCGCCTTCCCGTTTCCTCGGGACTTGTTGTTGCTTCGCGGTTGGACAGCAGCCACCTGATCTCCCTCACGTGACGCTTGGGTGGCTGCCGGGTCTTCCACAAAGTTGTCCGATTGGACTGCAGCGACATACTGCGGTCGCGCACCAGTTCTCACCTTCTCCACATAGGTTGGCTGCCATGCTGATTTCTCATGTGCAGCTGCCCTGTTTGTCTTGATGATCTCCCTCGCCTTGTTGATGATTTCGGCGAAGGTGTAGTACTGCTCGCGATCACCAAGTGCGAGGCTCAAAGCGGCGCATGACCGGTTGTAGAACTCCCGACGCAGATGCGGAAATGGTAAGTCCAAATCGGGCGTCGCCACGATCTTCTGCCAATCCGTGAGCCAATCACGTGTCTCTATGTTTCCTTGAGCCATCGTGAAGATGCGGTTGATGGCGAGCGTCGGGGCGTCGTCAACTATGAACCGCTTCTTCCATTCCTTTGTCAGATCCTCCCCAGGAGACCTTCTTGTGTAGGTTGAAGACCTGGACGCCATGGACGGTTGCCATATGGCTGAGCCAGATCTGGCATCCTCCCTTGGCGTTAAGGAACAACGCGCCGATGAACAGATGTTCGGGGACCTCATGAATCCCCAACTCCGTTGTGAATCCTTGCCACCAGACGACCGGGTCTTGATGTGTGTAATCATCGAACTTCTCGATCCGGAACGTCCGCATCTTGTAATGCTTTGTCGTGTTGGTGTTGCGATTGGGGTCAGACGGCTGTTGTCGCTGCCTGATCTCGGTCTTTCGTGTGTCCAGCTGCTGGCTGATGGTGGTTGGCGCTGCGAAGGTGCTAATATCACCTAGCATTGCCACTACGTGATCGATGTGTTCCTCCAGCTGGCGGGCAGAGGGTGCACTGCTGGACTCGCCAGCCTCCGGTCTTGGTCCAATTTGCTCCAAGTCCTGTACACGGGAATCAAGTGCCCGTGCTGCATCCTCGTGTTGATCCTTGTGGTTCCGTAAGGCCCGCTGGAGGTTCGCCAGCTCAGACTGCAGGTGGTTACAAGTGTAAATCAACCTGGTCATGAGCTTGGCCATGAATTCCTTGTGTTGTTCCTCCGGTGTCGCGTCGTCGTGCTCCTCGGATGGTTCAAAGTGCCAAAACTTGAGCCTTTCGATGTTGGTGGCTTCATGTCGCTGCAGTAGATCCTGGGCTTCCTTGCGGCGTGCCTGGGTATCTGCATCTGCTTCGGCCTGAAGCCGCTGCTTCTCAGCTGTTGCCGCCGCTTCAGCCTGTAGGCGGAAAGCCTCGTCTGCCAGCTGGCGCTGTTCCTCAATCGCGATTAGTGCGAGTTCAGTTCCGAAACGCCGTCGGTACTCGGCAATGGACTCATTTGCCTGTTGGCCTGGCATGCCTGGAACTGAGCCCGTCATGGTGGCGGGGCACAGCTGACGTGGCACTGTGGTACTGTTGACGTGGCACTGTGGCTGACGTGCCACTGTTGACGTGGCACTGCTGACGTGGCATTGTTGCTGACGTGGCACTGCTGATGTGGCACTGCTGATGTGGCACTGCTAACGTGGCACTGTGGCTGACGTGGCACTGTTGACGTGGCACTGCTGACGTGGCACTGTACCAACCCGAAAATGCATGCAAAGGGGTGGGTGGGAGGGAAAACGCAAGTAGGGAACCAACCCAACAATACTTTCCTCCCGGCCCTAATCAACAGATAAATAAATAAAAATAAATAAAAAAAGAGGACTACTTCCTTTTTTTTTTATATCTGTCGATTTGCTATGAGTGAGACATGTCAGAAGAGTACTATGAGCGAGATCTGGGCTAGGTTCCGCAAAGTTTCGGTTTTCACAAAATGCGATCTTTGAAAAAGAAAAAAAATTGCGAGATAGAATAGAGATGCGATTTTCAGAAAAGAACTAAATCCAGTTTCTGAGAATATGGCAACCTCCGAATATGCCTAATGAAATGTTGGTAGGCTTCGCAAGATTTCGGTTTTCAAAAACAATTGCGAGATAGAATGGAAATTCGGTTTTCAGAAAAGAATAAATTCGGCTTCCGAGAATATGACCACTTCTATCGTTATCCTAATATGCCTAGAAAATGAAATGTTAACATCAGAAATTTTCGACTATGTATGCGAAATATCAGAGAAACGAAATGCTACTATCAGGAATTTTCAGATAAAACGAAATGCGATTATCAGAAATTTTCAGATATTGTTGCGTGAAAACAAAATACTAATATCAGAAATTTTCAGGTAAAACAAAATGCGATTATCAAAAATTTCCAGATATTTGTTGTGCGAAAAAAAAATTCAGAGATTCGACTAAGTCCTACTTGATTTACTAATGAGTGATCAATAGATCGCAAGCTGGCTACTTGATTGAGCGGGTCCTCTGAATGAGAGGTCGGCTCCGATACCAAGCTGTTGCATATTGTAATGGTGCAGACCAGAACAAGAACCGACCTCTCAATACAAAGTACAAGATGGCGTAGCGAAAGACTTAGATACCAATGATCCGAACAATCAATATTGCAATGCAGCCCTGAACATACGTCATCATCATCATTCCATGGTGTGAAGGGGTCTGGCGCTCACACAGGAAGAATGAGCCAGCCCCAACCATACACAGACGAAGAAGAGGGGGGTTAGACGAAGAAGAGGGGAAGATGGGAATGTCGTCAACACCAAGTCTTCGGGACAGGCCCAAATAGTCCCTCGTCAAAATGTCTGAATCCCAATGTCGAGTCTGGATCCAATGTCGTCAAGTCTTAAGTCACAACTCTCTCTCTCCGTAGTAGTCCACTGATACCGAGAAGTCAGGTGGTGAGAGGGAAAGAAGAGATGGTGGACTTAGAAGAGGAAGAAGAAGAACTCTCTCTCTCTCTCTCTCAGCCCGGTACTAACCTGTGAAGTTGGCGCCTTAATGCAGGTACCTCGAAGATGGAGCTGGAGCTATGGCGCCACAGGTAAGTCCCACTGGCCTCCGCCAGCCATCTCTCCCAACTCTACTACTACCACCTACTAGCGCCCAGCGCTGAAGACTATTGCTATGGCTACTAGCGCCCAACGCTGAAGACTACGGCTAGCGCTAAGCTACTCCTGCAGCGCTCCTCCCGAGTGCTGCGGCTGAATCCTGAAGACTACTCCTGTGTTACATGCCCAGTTGGGTGATGTACATAGAAACCGAGGATCCGCAATGTGATGAAAGGACTGAATGGACAATGCAGTGCAAGTAGAATCTCAACAAGCAATGTGCATTCTCATACATACAAAATGGTGCTGAATAGCGCAGGGAAGATTTAGATACAAGACCTGACCTGACTGGGACTGACCTCATTCACATAGTATCAGATAGCGAAGCAGAATGCTAGAATGCTAATGACTAGCCCCATCAATGTTTGAACGCAGACCAAACATACATCGTATCCATCACCAGGTGTGAAGGAGCCTGGCGCTGTACACAGGGAGAAAGCGCCAGGTCCAGACATACACGGACGAAGAGGAGGGAATCAGACGAAAGGAGGGAGAGAGATGGGAATGTCGTCAACACCAAGTCTTTGTCACAAGTCCCAAATAATCCCTCGTTGCAATGTCTGAAGTCCAAAAGTCGAGTCTAGATCCGATGTCACCAAGCTCTTTCTCTCTTCTCTCGTAGTCTGCAGATGCAGTGAAGTCAGATGATGAGAGGGGGAGAAGGAGATGGTGGGCTGAGAAGAGGAAGAAGAAGAACTCTCTCTTTGTTACGAGCCAGATACTAACCTGTGAGAAGAGGAAGAAGAAGAACTTTCTCTCTCTGTTACGAGCCAGATACTAACCTGTGATGTTGGCGCTATGCTGCAGGTACCTCGAAGATGAAGCTGGAGCAACGGCGCTGCAAGTAAGTACCTCTGGCCTCCGCCCAATCTCTCTCTCTCTCTCTAGTGCTATCCTAGCTATGGCGCCCAGCGCTGGAGACTACAGCTACCTACTGCGCCCAGCGCTGAAGACTAAAAGCTAACGCTACTACTACCCTGCAGCACTCCCTCCAGAGTGCTGCTGCCGAATCTTGAAGACTACAACTGCCCCCTGCCTGTAGGGCTGGCCAGTCTTATATAGTGCTGGCCCGTCCAGGAGGCTGCTCTTGCCAATGCCCAAACATACTAGACCCTGAGGAAGCTTCCGGGAAGTTTCCAGGTAGCTTCTGGCTGAAGCCTGAGGAAGCTTCCGGAAAGTTCCCAGGTAGCTTCTGGCTAAAGCTTGAGGACCTATAGGCCCTTGTTTTCGGGCTGTCAGGCTGAAATGCCATGGGGCCTGTAAGCCCTGGATTTCAGGCTTTCGGACTGAAACAGACACGGGGCCTGTAAGCCCTGGATTTCAGGCTTTCGGCCTAAAACAAACACGGGGCCTGTAAGCCCTGGATTTCAGGCTTTCGGCCTGAAGGACGCACGGCCTGGAAAATGGCCCGCGTGTGTAGGCGCAGCATGCAACATCCTGCCTTCGGTCCAACTACCTGCCCGTGAAGTGCATGGGAACTCCCTATGTACTTCTCGGCCTGCCTCCTAACTGCAGGGCGAGGCTGTCCAGGAGGCTGCTCTTGCCAATGGCGCAGGGAGTCAGGGGCTGCCGCTGCAGCTCCTGCTTGAGGCTGTTGTGGGAACCGGCTATCTTATAGCCTGTTCCCGAAACCCTGGTTTTGTGCCTGAGTGTTAGGACAGGTCGATCTTACGAGGGCCCGAAAGTGGCCCTCCGTTTCAGGCTGAAAAGCCTCCAGGCTGAAAAGCCCTGTTTTAGGCTGAAACGTCATAAGGGCTTGCAGGCCCTCGTTTTTCAGTCTTTCAGGCTGAAACGACAGGGGCCTATAAGCCCTTATTTCTAGGCTTTTAGGTTGGGAATGTGGGACGGGCCCTGCAGGCCCGTGTGGCTACGCAGTATGCCACATGTGATGAGTAGCCCAAAGAGTAACTCAGGGGGAAATCACGCTACTACTTTGCTAAATGAATCTGACTGCAACTACGACCAGACAGGTACATTTGAAAAAGTGCTGGTGTGAGTGAGTATGGCTAAAGAGTAACTCAGGGGGTTACTTTTTTTTTTTTTTTTTTCCCAATCCCCTTTCCAGTGATAGTGGTGCTTGTGACGGACCCGCCGGGATGGCGGTCCGTCAGGATCAAGACGAAGGGATGAGGATGGGGGAGATGGAGATGGAACTGGAAGGGACAGCGCAGCTCCAACGCAGACTCAACACGCACGTACTCCAATCAGTGCAAATGAAGGAAGAATGAGTTACAAAACAAACTGCAGTTGGGGTATACCCCCAGCGGACTGACTGGACTGGACTGGACTGGCCTGGTACCGACAGTGGTACCGGGCAGGACTGGACTGGACTGAATAACCACATGGCCAGTGGGGTCAGGCCACGGCCTAGTTCCACAGGCCGAACAGGCAAATAGCCAAATAGGCCCTGGCTGTGGGTCAGGGCAGATGAAGGCCCGCTGCACGATCCTCAAACCTGTAATGGATGGCAAGAGCCATAAACACGCTATCCGCAAAAGCAACGGAACTCTGCAACAAAGAAAGCTGAGAAATCTAGGATGCGAAGCAAGCTCCATGCGGAGTCCATGCGATGCAGCCTAAGCTACATAATGTCAAAAGAAAAGCAAATGTCTGGTATACATATCCTAGCTAACAGCAGAAAATGAAATGTAGTATGATACAATCCTGAAGTCTTGGAGGCAGTGGCCTCAGTGCTGAAAGGAAAAGAGCAATATGTCACAAGATAATGTCATATCGCTGAACCACTAAGAGTGGGATGGTCTCAGAGGGGGTGAATGCAGCCTAAGAATCGAAACTCCTAAGGGCAGTCACACATGAAGGTGGGATAGGTCATCAGGCTCAAGGTGGGAGAGTGGTAGCGAAACAAAACCAATGACCCTAACAGATAGACCATCAAGGCGGGTAATGCTCGACAAAAGGGT